ATGATGAATTTCACCCCAAAAAACATTTTATTTTTTACTGTTTCCTATTCCTAAAATTTTGCTTATTTGACATTTATTGTGTTGATCTTTTAGTGTAGCACTTCCAGTGTGATTTTTTATTTTATTTTATTATGTAAAACCACTCTGCTTTGCACAAAAGACCAATTATAGAAAGACTTTTTACAGACTGACAAAAACAAGTTGATTATTTAAAAATATTTAAAACAACTTAAAATAAACCAAGCCACCCTGACATAATCCACTGATTTTCACCCACGAGGCCCAAAGACTAGAGTATTTCTGATTAAATTAAACTCGTCCTGGTTGCTCCAGCAGCTCCCTAAATGGTCATTTTGCACTCAGACTTCACTTTGAGAGTTGCTGGACTGTACAGCCCTGAGTGAAGGAGGACTTCCTCAGTGCGAGGCGAGCCTTGGCAGGAATGCAGAAACCAGATGACCTCAAATGGAAACTCCAGGGCTGACGGAGGCGGCACCCCGGCCATCTCGTTGGCTCTACCTAACACTCCGGTTTCTCCCTCTCTTTCCAAACTTCTGACTTCTCCTAGTTTCCAGCTCCTTGTTTGCGCTGCCCCCGTCACACCCCAGATGCTGTTCTGCTGCCCGGTTTGGGGTCAGCGATGCACACTCAGGACCGCTTCCAGCCAAGCAGCACAATGACGTCATCTTTTTGGTCTTGAAGTTATAATTTTCATGTTAATTACACAGAAGCAGAGATGAGCTAAATATAAACATCTGCAGGGGGAGGGAAACGGTGAGGGTAGGTGCTCAGATTGGTGGTTCTCCTCAGGCGGAAGGGGTGGAGAGAGTCAGACGGCCTGTTGGAGATCTGTGGTTTTCTGCTGCTGAGGCCTGCTTCTGAAAAAAAGGATAGAAAAGGAGAAAAAGAGGAGGGGTGGGGTCTCTTATTACAGTGGAGCTCAGACGTGACGCTTTGATTGCTCCCAGCGGTTGTGGTCAGCACCGAGGGGGGGGGGGGGGGCACAGAGTTAACTCTCGGCCAGATGTCGTCATCGGTTCTGATGTAGTTCGGGCGATATACGTGCATCGGGAGACAGATGTGTCTCAACAGAAGGTCCAGATGAGAATTTATCCATCAGCCCTCTGCTGCTGCCTCATGGTGGCTCTGAGGCAGCAGGACTGCTCACCTGGAAGCCATTTGCTCCGGGCAAAAACACACACACACTAATTTAGCTGGAACAGATTTGTTGTGATTTGTGCATTGTTGGCGTGCAGTTGCAGCTCTTTAGCTGAGGGGGAAGACCGAATTCTCGGCAGGTTTGCGAGACTTTGAGCTAGAAGATGTGACAGTCAGAGCTGTGCCGGCTGGTTTCTGTTTCAGACGTTTAAAATTCTGAGTGTTAGGGAAAATCAGCTGGGCGTGTGTGTGTAAATTTTTATGAAACATTCAGAAATTCCTTTAAACTGGGTGTGATTGAAGATGGTTGTTATTGCAGATCAGCATTAGGATGCACTAATGCAAATAGTCATTAAAATAAATGTGTTTTTGGTCAACCAGACCTTTAAATATGCTAAAAGTTAGAACTGGTAAAGCAAAATTCTCAATAATGTGAAATGAAAAATCAACAGGAGAATCTGTGTATTTATTTTAGCTGTAATTCAGGGCAGACCTCAGCATAGAGAACGTGTTGGAGCCACTCCCTGCAAATTAGGTTAAAGCACATCCCTCCACGTAATGGGCTCGAGAACATGCTGTGTGTAGCTGTGGCTGTGTGTTGACTTGTATGGTATACTTCTGCCCCTAACCACATAAAAATAGTTTTTTTGGGGGGGTTGTGTGAAAAACTAAAAGGCTTTCATGGCAACATCTTGGATGCAAGAAGATGGATACAATTTTATTTTAAGATGTGATTGAGCCTATTTTCTTATTTAGGTTGTACTTGTAGCATCTCTGTATGAAAATATAAAGCAACACGTATTATACTCTTCTTGAGCTTGTTTTCTTTTGCTTTAAGTTGCTTTCTGTCCTCACCAGTTACTATCAGTAAATATTTTCCTGTGTGTTCACACATCTGCCCCACCTGCGTCCTGTTCTCACACAGGTTTTCTTTTTGCCTCTAGTCTAGTGGAAGCACACACTGGTTCACATTTCCATGTGGAACAATAGACACATCAAATACCCCGAGTCACACATTTTCTGTCTTATAAATATCAAACACTTCATTTTGACCGCAGCAACAGCTTCTTTTTCTAGAGGAATTCAAGAAATTCAAGATTTCCAGAGTTTTTATGTGTAAAAAAGTTCAGTTATTTGTATAACTGAAGGAGTCGCCAGGTTTTATTTAACCCATAGGAAAATATTAATAAACAAATCTGGTGTCATTAAAGTAATCTTATGTTTATTAGGGATGTAAGAAAATATCAAAATGGCAATGTATCGTGATATTTTATCCTGTGATATTGTATCGATATTCAAAAGCTGTATAGCGAAAATATTGATATGGTAATATATGGTGATATTTTATCCTGTGATTTAATATTGATATTCAAAATCCATGTATCAAATTTTTGGAAGAATTTACATGCAAATATTTGTGTATTTTCTTTTCTTTTGGTGCAATTCAAACGCAGACCGCTAGTTGGCAGCAGTGAGCAATGTGTTTTGTTTCCACCATTGAAATGTAAATCCCTCTGTTATGGTTCAGATACCTTGCGTTAAAAATGTTAAGTATCAGTTTGGTCTAGGGCTGGGCAATAAATGGAAAATTTATCGTTATCGAAATTTCTGACTCTTATCGTGATCATTTTTCCCATGTTAATAAATTTGATAATAAAGAAATGAAAAGATGTGTTGGTTGGTAACGTTCACATCCCTTTAAGACGCTGTACCACCTTGAGTCACGTAAAAATGTGATTCAAGTAATACATGTGACAGCCCCATCTAGTGGACAGCTTTTGCTTCTGTGCATACCTGTAGTTATCGAGGTGAAATTCTCAATATATCGTGATACTGATTTTAGGTTGCATCGCCCAGCCCTAGTTTGGACTGTTTATTGAATATTCCTACAATAAATTCAGTCTAAAAAAATTGCTAATATTGTCTGGCTGAATGTATCGCAATACATCGTGATATGTTGTATCGTCTCCCCTGTATCGTGATACTTATCGTATCGCCAAAATTTCACCAATACACATCCCTAATGTTTATTATTTATTATTTAACTTAGTTTTTCTGGAGAATAAACTGCTTGAGATGTAACATCTCGTTTTCGAGCAGGTCCTTCTTCAACACAACCAATAAAGAATAAGATGGCAGAGTTAATTGATCACAATAGACTTAAAATAAAATGATATAACAATAACAAATAAATAAAACTTCAAAGATAAAATAAAAAATTAAAACTGCCGTGAGTCACTCCAAGCAAAAAAGGGCATCGCACTAACATCTTATATAAACGCAAAATAAACTTACATCCAAATTAACTGACAATAATTGGCAATAAATAAAAAAAAACAGCAACGCAGCAAACAAACACACAGATTCATCATTACACAGTTAAAGCAAAGCAGTCACAGGTCGGCTTCACATAAACATAAACAGACTAAATTGACGAAGTGATGAGATGAACCTTAGATCTGTAGGTAACTTATTCCAGTCCTGAGGAGCTTTAACGCTAAAGGCGAATCTCCCCTGAGGAACAACATGTGTGTTGTTGTGTTATATGTGTGTAGGGGTCTAACTGTTATGTCTATGACATTTTTCTGAGTAATTAGGGATCATGTTTTTCACAAATACCTTCATGTTGGACTGTCTGTAGGTCAAGAGTGGTGTAAATATTCATGAACTCCTTTCTGGCACAAAGGAAATTTGTGGAAACACCATGTAATGCATGCATGCATGCATGATGTGTGCGCTTCCTGCAGATGAGCATGAGGTCAGGTGGCCTGTTTTAATCCTCTGCACCACAGAAGCTGTGAGCTGTGTGTTGTTGTCCGTTTGGACATTCGGTCTGGGGCTGCAGGGTGCAGGGGGTTCAGGGACCACCCAGCCTTCCTCAGCTGAACGATTATCGGACCCCCACGCATTTCCTCTCCACCTGCTTTGACCCTCCAGAGGCTGTTTGCAGCTCGAAGGCCACAACAGGTGTGACCTTTTTGATCCCCAGCCGCCGTTTCTTGCCTCAGTTTAATTCATTATTTCAAGAAGGTCACAGGTAACACTTGTAGGTCGCTATCTCAGTTCCACTCGCCTTTTACTTTTGCCTTCATGCCACATGGTTTGAATGCTATTAAAATACCTCCCTGTCTCTCTCTCTCCCTCTCCTGTGCCCCAGTGCTGTCTAGGTTTCCACGCCCATGTCATGTCTTTAGGTCATGTCTGCCCTCTAGTGTCTGCAGGATAGCAACTACATGCCTTTTTCTTCTGTTGTAGGGATTTACTAGTTAACTTTATCAAAAGAGTCACGCCCCCTTTTTTCATCCTATAGCTTGCTTTTGTTGAATCCACTTCGAAAGATTACGGTAAAAGATCACTTAGGTGATGAAACAGAGCCTTGTCGCTGCACAAAGATGTGTTTTTTTCATTATTGGCTCAGAATCCTGACTTTTTATAGATGGCTCTGGCTCTTTTGCTTCCCTGTTTTTGGTTCTTAACCTGGAAGCTTTTAGCCAGACTAATTTAATGTAACACGGTCTTTAAAGGAGCTTTCAAACTAGCACAATTTGTTTTGTTTTAAATACTCCTGTTTCACAAGAGTCAACTCTCTATATTTTTAGGTGGATTACTGTCCTTCTGTTTCATTACACATGTGATTCGGAGTCCCTCACATCTATTTCATAATATCTTTAGAGCGAAGGTTACCACGACTCTGCTCCATGTGTCTCTTTTTCCTTCATGGTAGCTGTGGATCCACAGGAGGTATGTGTGTGTGTGTGTGTGTGTGTGTGTGTGTGTGTGTGTGTGTGTGTGTGTGTGTGTGTGTGTGTGTGTGTGTGTGTGTGTGTGTGTGTGTGTGTGTGTGCGTGTCTGTATGTGTGCGTGCGTGCGCTGCTCCAACACCTCAAATACTTCATGTTGAGTCCGGAGTATGCGAGTGACGTGTCATGGCAGCTTTCCATGAAGAAGTTTAGATTGCTCATTATTTCTCTGAGTTTTTGTTTTGTTGGTTTTTCATTGTGAGTGTAAAACCCAGGATGTCCTCTTGTGACCCTTTCCTTAATAGTCGCGGCCAGCGTTTATAGAAAACACCTCATCATTGTGTCTGGGGTTTGATTTATTTGCGACACCAGCGGTCTGAAACTCTTCACTCTTTCTTTTGTGCTTCCTGTTAGAGCTCATCTTGTTTCTCACAGCTCTGCTTGGAAAATATTTTGTCTTGTGAGGAAGTGGGAGAGGAAAAAATCTGCAGAGGCTGGTGTGTGTATATCTGCTGGCGGTGTCATGAAGAGAATTAAAACACATCAGCATCCTAATCTGTCCGTTACACCAGGAATCATGCTCGGCATTATCCTGCATTACCCTGGTCCTCACCCCTCTCCCTTTTAACAGATGTGTTTGTTGACAGAGCCGTGAGATCCAAGCAGGAGGCACGAGGTGTTGCTCCTCTGAGATCAGCAGCACGCGTCTGTGTTTGATCCCCTGACTTCAAGGGCTCTGCGCCGGCTGGTTGTCATAAAAAGCCGGCATGACTTGTAGCTGTCTCCGTGTTTCAGCTGATCAGATTCTTGCAGGACAGATAAGACGTGCGTGTTCTGACTGCAGAAGGATGCTGGATGTCAGCCTGCTCAGACATGTTACAGTAGATTGTTTGGGTCACCAGTGGAGGAGTGTTATCGTCACAGCCCTTCATTTGGTTCGTTTTTCCCCTCTTCTTGCTCATCCTCCTCTTCTGTAAATCTGTCCATGGTTCATGAGCAACAGAAGAACCAAGAGGAAACTTTTGCTTCCTTCCTCACCTGAACTGTTATTGTAAAAATGTGTTGGATATGAACGAGGAACTTGTGTATTTACAGATATTAGAGTTTTGTTTGGTTTCCACGGTCTCAGCGTGTCTGCAACCATCTGTGATTTCCTCACAGCCACCCAGCTTTTCTGCAGCCTAAGGAAAAATCGGACCTTCTCCTTTGCCTCCTGGACAGTGACCCAGAAGGGCGGTTTCCACTGGTCTGAACCACAGAGAGAAGAGCACCCCCTCACAGAAGAACCATAATTACACAGCTTTGTGTGCTTATTCTCAGCTGTGACTCAGTGAGACATGTGGCCTGTGTTTGTGTGAATGCTGCGTGCATGGCAGAAGCTTTGTGCTCGTGTGTAAACTACGTGCACATTGTGTTTGTAAGTGAAAGCTGACTGGATAAACAATTAGAGTCACGGATGAAGTGAGGTGGGATACATTTATGTAATTCTTCTAAATGGGACTGCTCTAGCCTAAGCTATGACCCATAGACAGACCTCAGTTGTGGGGCGGAATCCATAGCTGTCTTTCAAAATGTCTCCACACGCAGTTGGACAGCGCTAGGACCAATCAGAGCAAAGAACAATGTGACGTATTCACAGGGAGCCTAAAGGTTGGTTTGTGCTTGACGCGTCCGCGAGTTTTGCACGGCTCCGCGTGGCAAAATTGCATCATTTTAACAACCACGCCCCTCCTCCGCACCCCCGCACGGCCCAAACTTTCCACACCGCTCACCTAGGAAATTTTCTAACCACGTGGACGGTCGAACATGGAAAATCATGGCGGGCTGGCAAGAACTAGTATGGCAGAGTTTGTAAATACAGACATTTGTATGATTCAGCTCTCAAAGATCACCGTGATCAACATGTTGTTAATAATTCTTGGAGAGAAATAGCTCGCACTGTCGAAAAAGACGAGGACGCTGTAAAAAAATGCTGGAAAAACATGAGGGGCCGATGTGTGAAGGCAAGGAAGGGGAACAAACGGAAAAACGGTGATCCTGGTGGAAACAAGAACACTCCACCAATTCTAAAAGAGCTGAGTTGGCTCTCAACTTTCATTAACAACTGTTATAGACAACAGTAATTTATTAAGTACATTAAGTACACATTAAGTAAATGTGTCGAGCATAAACCAAGCTTGAGTCTCCTAACTTTCCGGTCGGCTCCTGGGTCCCCAGAAGAATGAAAAATCGAATGCAAGTCAATGAGGCTACAAGAGCTGTTTTCTAATCCTGTTTGCTATGTGCCATGAATTTCACATATGATGTCTGTGAATTTTAAAGACACATTTTGGTGCCAAGAAAGGGCTCATTTTTGAATGAGAGCAAATTTTATTTCAGGTTTTTTTGTGAAAAAACATCCAGGACTACAATGCGCATCAACAAAGTGACGCAGTCAAACCAGACTTGTTCATGGGCTTTTATATGCAAACAATGTTTGACCACTAGGCCGTTCAATGCCAAGACTTAACATTAAAATGCTGCAGTTCATTTCAAAGCTAACTGTGTTGCTTTTACACGTAGGAACTGCTGAATAATGAACTCAGTGGCCTTAGTGCGTTTACATGCAGCCAGTAACCCTTTTAAAACCCGAATATTCACAATAACCCGGTTCCGCAGGTCCATGTAAACACCGCCAAAAACCCGGATATGCTCATAACCGGGTTTTTAAAAACCCGGTTACTACACCTGGGGTAACCCTTTTCTAACCCGAATGTTTGGTCGTGTAAACGCATGTCGGGATATCCCCATCAAAGCGTGTGTTCTGCGCATGCTCTGTTCGCAACGAATCTTGGTCTTTTGAGTAGCGAGACGTCTTGTATGCGCCAGAACACCGGAAGTAAACAACAAGTTGGGAGCAACGTGGCGAGTCGCGGCACAGCACCACACTTTGAGTGACGAGGAAACTAAAGCGCAAACAAACGCGGTCGCTATCTCTTCCGAACTGGGAAACATGTCGTTGTTTTCACGGATACCGGAACAAGAAGAACCGGAAATTACGCATATTGCGTCTGGACGTAGTCCATACGTCCTGACGCTACCCCAACGCCCGCATTTAAATCGGGTTATGCAAGTTAGAGGTAACTCTTTCTATTTATGCTTGTAAACGGGTTATTCTGATCAACTCAGAAACCCGAATACCGACCTTAACCCGATCATAACCCGGATTTTGGCTGCATGTAAACGCAGTTAGGAAGCAATGTCAGCATCAAAGCACTTTTTGTTATTTTGAGTGTGAAATAAAAAATAATCTAAGCTACTTTGCTAACAATGTCCCCAACTATTAGAGGTGCTGAAAAAAATCAATTCAAGTCTGAATCGAGATTCTTATTTATAAAGTTTCAGAATCGATTCCAAGAACTCAAATATTTGGCATGTTACAGGTTTGAGATGCACTTTTTTGATCTTTGTTAGTAGAGTCAGTACTCCGATTACCTTTGTGGTCCCATAAATTGAGATGATTCATGTTTGAATCTGCTGATAAGAGGGCACTTGAATGTCATTTTTTCCATACTCAGAAATTTGAGATATTCTCATGTTTATTTTCTAAGTTGATAAACAAGTACTCAGGATTACTCATGTAACTTGTTTCTACACATACTTGAAAAGTATTTGACTGTATTACTTTCTAAGCTACAGTTAGGTAACTACAGATTTGTTATATTTTACAAGGTAAGCAAAAATAAATGTTGCCTTTTTACCAGTTGGTATGCCAGTTTTAGAATCGCTTTATTTTACATTGTAAATTTGCATTTTTGGAGCACGACCAGTTTAAAGTCAAATAAAAATGTCCCATAGCTTTAACTAACTTGTACAACAAAGTAGTTCATCCTGGAGCTGACACTCTTTGTTAATACTGATTGTGAATCGATTTAAATTGAGAATCGATTCTGAATCGAATCAAATCGTGAGTTGCCCTAAGATTCACATCCCTACCAACTACTCTCCAACACGTCTCAGTCATTTCACAGCTTTGTTTTCACTCAGAGGAATGCGCAGCCTCAACATGAACCCGCATTGCAAGACGACTCACAGTGGGAAAAAACGTAGCATTTATGCAAGCCCTGCTCTGAAACGTCAGCTGCATTACCCAAAAAGTTTATAGTGTGTGTTCGCATCATTAGTTTAAATACATGTTTCTTGGAAAAAATGCCACACACTCGATTTTCTTGGATGTAAAATGAGAAAAAGAATCAGTAAACAAAACCCTGTTAGAGAAAATTATAAATCAGATACCGACCCGCAGCCAAGAGCACCCTACCTGTTCCTGCTGGATTAGGACGACTCTGTTGGGAAAATTATCCTCATGGATCTGTGTGTGTGTGTGTGAGTGTGTGTGTGTGTGCGCGCACACGCGTGCATGTGTGTGTGTGTGCAAGATAGACAAAAATAACAGAAACACACAAATAGGAAACATCTTGTTTCATTCGAATTTCCGAAATTTCACAACTTTTTCAACCAAACCTGTAAAGTTTGGTGTCTGTTGTGTCATCCACCGTTTTGTAAAGTAAAGTAGCTGCAGGCTGTGATTTTATCCACGTTTTATTTTTTTTAATTTTTTTTTTACGTCTTTAAAAACACAAACTCCATAGTTGGGAAGTTGACTGTTCCCACTTTGTAGTTGTTGTTTTGAGTCCTCAGAGCCCAGATTTTCCTTTTGCCACCCTTTCACCTCATCGTGGCGCAGAAACTATGCAGCCCATTGTGTTTTTTTAAACCTTGTGTAGGTTACGGCCTATACGGATATGACGGCCGTCTTCGGTCAAGTCGGCACTTGTCCCGCCGTGCAGCAGGTGAAACCTGTTGAGCCTCTCTGTGATTAGCCGTCTGCAGCAACATGGTCACCTGTGTGCTGCTTTCGCCCGTATCCTGGACTCCTGGCTATTTGGTGAGAACCGCGCAGCGTGTGCGACCACATCTGGAGGGAGAGGTCCGTTTTTCTGACAGATTTAGTGCTGAGGTGTAGGTGTCACCGTGCTGTATGGGTGTATTATTGTAACACCAGGACTCAGAGTTTATAGTCGATAAAAGAGGTCATCTTGACATCCAGCTGTTTTATTTTCATCAAGACTTGTTTCTATCCTCTATCCAAGTCCGCTAACGATCATCCTCCCTCCTCTATGTTTTCCACTCTTAACCATGAGAAGATAAATGCAGTGGCAAAAGTTTTCTTTCTCTTTGTGCTGGAAATTGGCCCCTTTCTCTTTTTTTTGTCTGCTGAGTGGAAGGGAGGAGGAGGAGGAGGCAGGGCCGGATTTTGGTGAAGTTCAGTGCCGAGACCACAGCTTTGCCACTTTGTTTGTGCAGCCTCACTAACACACACGTGCAGGAGATCTTTTTCTTCTTCTTCTTCTTTTCATCCTGCAACAGACGGATTCATCCAGACATCAAACCAACCGGATGTGTCTTCATTCTAAATGTTTGCTCGCAATGGTGACTCTTTGGATTGGATGGGGTGTTTCTGTCTGCAGATGACATTCGAACCAACGAACAAGTTCAATAGAAAAAGCAAAGTAGAAAGGTGAGAGAGTTAAGGATGGAGCTGATGCTGGCTGTGATAAGGACCCGTGAGTTCTGGATCAGCGTGAAGATGAAGTGATTTGGAGGTAAAGAGACAGCAGGAGAAGAGAGGGATAGAGAGACAGGACAGTGGGAGGGAGGATAGATGTGAAATCCAGCCCTCTGCGGTAGCGGTGTGTGTGTTTTGGGGGTGGACAGAGTGTGTGCAGAACATCACTGGATGCAGAGAGGGAGGGACATGGCCACTTGTTCTGTGTGTGTGTGTGTCTGTAGTGAAACCAGACCTACCTCTGATCCCTGCGCCACACACACACACACACACGCACACACACACACTCCATCTGCTGCCAGAAGCCCACCTTCTGCATCCTCGGGCCGAACCTCATCTGCTGGTGGTGCAGAGTGAATTCATGGAGATCAGAGTGAAAGGCTGCGGTGTGGAAAATGTGGGATTGAACTTTCCAAAGCCACGGATCAGATCCAGGAAGCAAAAAGTTCAGACTTTTGAGTGAATAAGTGGAGGAAACTTTTGGTCGTTTTGTGTTTCTTCTCATGGACTTTGTCCTGGACTGTGAGTGGAGTGTGAGCAGCCCGTGGAGGTGGTGAGTGATGCGGGTCTGACTGAACTCAGCACTCCGATGCCTGCCGCTATGCTCCCCTGCGCTGCACCAGCCGGGTCCGACTGGAGCTTCCAGAACGCAGTGGGGGTGGACTGCAGCTCCCCCGAGCCTCGCTGCATTTGGCTGGCCGTCCTTCATGGAACCACGGGTCCAAATCTGCTCTCTGCACCCCCCCTGCACAGCCAGCGCTCTCACCAGCTACGGGTAAGAGGAGCTCACCCATCTTCATCAGAGCGGGTTTCAGGCCTGGAGACCTACAGCCTAAGATGATGGATGGTCTCAAATGACTCCTTCTTATTTATTTCATTTAAAAACTTTTGGTGTTAATTTCTAGCTCAGTTAAGTTTACAGAATTCTTTGAGTATTTCAAGTAAATTTTAGAAAATAGACAATAATTCTGAAGTTTTGATCTTCCAAGTAGTTTAAATTGACAAAAGCAGATAATATTTTCTAGACTTTGTCAAACACATGTTGAACAACATGACGTCATAATCTCACCGACTGCACATTAATTTACCGAACAATAATAACAAACTACTGGAGCAGTTTTGTGATTCTCCAGAATTAGCCTTAACTCAGTAGCGGGTGATAATTACTTGTGTTTCTGTAGCAGATGTTACCTGGCAGACTGCTGCGGTGCCTTCAGGCTCCGACTGTCGTGTAAGAAACTTTGACGTCTCTTTGTGCTGCTGTATTTATTAGGATGTAAAGAGTGGGTTTATGAGAGTGGCGTCACTTTAACTGACACGAAACCTGACTTAATATCTGATTGTTTAAAGGTGTTGAACTCTAGTTTAATCAATACATTTGCATTGGTCTCTAGTAGGCATGAATAACTTGTTAGTCGTACTCAGAAGCTCTTGTTTCAGCACAGATCATTTAGCTGGAGGAGACAGCGGCTTCAGACAGCAGGATCAGGAGTCCTATTTCCTGATATTTGGGCATCTCGCCTCGGATTGACTACCACTGACTCTTTTCCGCATTGTTGATGTTTGATCTCCACAAATAACTCAAGCCTGAAGGAGTTCTGTCTTGTAGTGGAGTGCCTAATGCTAACGGTTAGCTTCTACTAGCGGAGATGTTCTTTGCTGTTTCCTGGACGCTAAACCAACAGCAAACTTCCCCGTCGTGAGCCAAGATGGGTGAGTCCATGAATGTTAAGCGACAGTGTGACGTAGATTTGTCAGGTTTTCCTAATCCTAGAGTTTCACCGTCTGTTTTCTATCAGAAACTAATGCAGGAGATAGGTGTAGGAGACCATTGCCATGTTCAGCCTGTGTTCTACACCTTTAATGTAAGTACTTAATCAGCAGTTTTGGCAGGTTTCCTACCATTTAGCGACATTTTCAATGTTGTAACCAGACTTATGGGTTTTTTTACATTCAAATATTGAGAACGTTTTGTGTTTTTCTATCTAGGGTGACATCGTAGGAATCTGTGTGTGTAAGAACATGTTTTAGTGAGTGTTTACAGGGCCAGGTAAACACAGTCTGGTGCTGTTTTCTGTTGATGTTTAGTAGAATATTTTTGTTCATTTTAGTTATTTTTAAAAAAGCAGCAAAAAAAAACAAAAATTCTCTGCATAAATTTTATAAAGTCTTCTAAATATTATTAAATATTGAGAAATTATTTTGAAAATTGAAAGAAACAACTTGATAACTGAACTTTGTGCTACTTCATCCCTGTTCAGTTTTTTATTTATTTTATTTTATTTATTTTTTCATTTTTCAAATATGTGTGTGTGTGTGTGTGTAAATGTGTGTCATGTGAACCCATTCGTTCGTCTGTGACGTTACTAATTAATAGCTAAGATCTCATGACTTGGGTCACTTTTAGCATTGGAGCTGCGAGATTCTTCTCCCAAACTCCACAAAACGCCTTCAGAGTTGAATACATTTGCTTCCCTAGATGATCTCAGATATGTGGACTACAACCTCCTTTTTCCATCTTTTCCTCAGCTGTTTCCATCCTCCCCCCTCCGTGACTATTTGACACAGAAATGCCACAATCAGGAATGCACGCATGGGGGAGGTGAAGAGTACACAGCTGTGGCAAACACACACTGTACCCTGTTTAGTCACTAGAAGGAAGGTGTATTATATTTTCTTTGGAAGCGGATGTAAATCAAGAGTTTCGGTTTGTTTTCCCTGTCTGGTGCTGAAACAAGCCGTTTCTGTATCATTTCATCAGATGTAAAGTCTGGAATGTATGTGATGAAATCAGTAAGATTTCTATCATGGATGAATGTCACGCTAACACACAGAAAAACCGCCGCATACGAAGTAATAAGCATCACATAGTACAGAGGAAATGGCCCAAAAAGATCTTTTTTGTCCAAGCACAGCCTGAAATGATTATTTTTTTAAATTTTAGAATGAAACCATGTCTTTCATCAAGTGCCAAAAAGGGGTTTCAAGCCTCCGCTTTTATGTCTGCCCTGGATCATAACATCCAAGTTCAGGACGTTATCCTCTTTTGAATCTTTTCGTTCCAACGTTAAGATCCGAAGCAAACAGGTTTTCCTTGATTGTTTTTACCTTGGCTAGATATTTTACAGTCTCTTAGGACATTTTCACCTCTTGTTTTATGGGCAAGGCAGCTTTATTTTTATAGCCCATGTTATACACAGAGGCAATTCAATGTGCTTTCCAGTTAGTAAGAATAGCAAGAACATTAACCCTCATGCATCAGTGGGGCCATTTTTCTATTTGGGCATCCCTTTTGGTTTGGATGCCTTTTTAGCATTGTTTGTGCATATGGTACAACATTTTGTCATAAGAATTAGTTTCTGAACCTCTTTCTTGACAAATTTTGAAATGCAATTTAGGGATGCAACGATACCACTTTTTTCCAAACCGATACGATAACGATACTTGGATCTGAATACTCGCCGATACCGATTACCGATGCCGATGCTTCTACCACACAAAAAATGCAATGATTTGGAATACAGATTTTATTTTCTTCTCTGCTTTCAACAGGAAAAGACTGTGAGGTAGATAAAAAGTAAAATATATGAATGGAAATCATCACAAAACTAAAATATTAGGTGAACAGAAATGACAAGTTACAGTGAAGCCATTTTCAAGCAACTGCATTGGTATCAGTTCCTGGTATCAGTTAACTTTTACCGATACCCATACCAGTATCGTATCGGTATCTGCATCCCTAATTTAGTTTGGAATTTTGAAAAAAGACCATGGGAACACTATGGGGAAAAAACACTACCCTCTTGAGACCTCGTGTGTTTTGTCCTCAGTAGTCATAAGAGGATGGTAACTTTTAAATCTGTTGCTACATAAAAACTGTTGGTGCAAAAATGTGATTTTTTTTTAGATATTTCACAATATAACCAAGACTGATTTGTAATGAATGCCCCAGGCAGAAATCATTATTTTTAAATAACAAATTGATCAAATCACATTGATTGAGGTTTTTAGAGGTTTGAGCAGAACTGAAGTTGTTTAACAGATCTATGAAAAAAGCAATAAATAAATAAATGTATAGCTTTTTTACAGCCACATTTATTTGAGTAAATTTAAGTGACGCATGAAGGTTACAATCAGTGTGCCAGCACAATTAGAATACACACAAATTCAATTTAGATTTAAAAATTAAAAAGAAAAAGACAAAGTTATAGGGTGAGCAGTTACCGCACAGAAGGTGCAGCATAAGAAACAGTCATTCAAAGGCTGATGAATGCATAAAGGTTTTCAATTTTTAATTTATAGTTTCTAGAGTTTGGGCACATTTGATGTAATTAGGAAGTTGATTCCATCTGTGTGCAGCGTAGTAGCTAAAAGCAGCTTCACCCTGTTTGGTTCTGACCCGAGGTTCTACCAGCTGACTGTTTCCCAAGGATCTCAGAAACCTGGGTGTACACTGGTAGGAAATCCGACGTGAATTCTGGGCCCATGCCAACTAGTAGAAGTACTTTGAAATAAATTCTGTAGTTTACAGGTAACCAGTGTAGAGGTTTAAGAACAGGAGTGATGTGCTCGGTTCTCTTGGTTCTCGTTAAGACTCTAGCAGCAGCATTCTGAATAAGCTGCAGTTGCTTCACAGCTTTTCTGGGAAGACCAGTCAAATGACCACTGAGATAGTCCAGCCTGCTGGAGATGAACACATGAATGAGTTTCTCTAGGTCCTGTCTGGACATGGGACCTCTGAGTCGTGCTATTTGATGAAGACGATAAACTACAGATGCTGATGCTGCTTTCTTGGTCAGGATGTTTGGTGGCTGTAAAAGACTACAGGGATACCCACAGACTTTCATGCCAGAGTTAAAAGATTTTGTAAGGAAATGGTTTTGTTGCAGTTTTGACTAAATCTGGAAACTAATGAGGTGCTTGATCTCATTAAGTATCATAAGTTCTCAATCCATCTGTCAAAGTATGTGTCGTGAATGAGTCTCACCTGCTCTACATGAAATTACCGTAATTTCCGGACTATAGAGCGCTCCTCAATACAAGCCGCACCGGGCTAAAAGCCGCAGATATCTACCGAATTGAAAACGTAGTTTTACTGAACGTAACTGAACTGATCAGTATCAAATAAAACAGAAAAGTCATTGATTAGTTTATTCATCATCCTCCTGCGCACTGAAACCACTGAAGTCATCTTCTTCTTCAGTGTCGGAGTTGAACAGCCTCAGAAGAGCTTCGTCACATACCTTTTCTGTGGCGATGTCAGTGTCGCTGTCCGTGTTGCTGTCATCATCCCCGGGTGAAGCTGGGAAAACAAGCAGCGCCGTTTTACTTTGAAAAAAAATCCTCCTGTAGCACTCCTTTAATCATTCCTTTATTAGACTCTCCAGCACCTCATCATAAGCCGCATGGTTCGAAGCGTGGGAAAAAGTAGCGGCTTATAGTCGGGAAAAGACGGTAGCTTTAAATCTAAAACTGACTGAGTTAAACCCATTTTTGAATCTGATAGAGTTGACTGACTCCATTTGACAGACTTTATGGTCTTTTAGGTCTGAGTTCTGAGCTGAGCGGGTTATGATTGAAGTTGGGTTGTGGCGTGGTGGATGGCCCAAACACTGAGTGACTGGTGCTGGGTTGGACAAGCACGCAGTTAATATGGGAACCAACTCGATAGGGAACAAGAGTGTACCGCGGCTCCAAAGTAAAGAAAGAGGATTTACAGGAAGTCGGCAGGTCGGTTGGGTAAACTGGTGGGTCTCGAGGGGAGGTTGGCTGGTC